TTCACGTAAGCATCACACAATCAAGGTAAAGGATGGTTCAGTTCCCACAGGGCTCCCTCCTGTTACCCTTTGAAGTCATTCCTGCCTCCTTCCACCCTAATCCCGGCAAGTGGAAATCTGCTCTCCATCGCAGTCATTTCGTTATTTCAAAACTGTCATATAAATGGAATCACACACAAAATAACATTTGGAGTTGGCTGTTTTCACTCAGCATAATTCCCTGGAGACTCATCCAAGGTGCTGTGTGGATCCATCCCTCACTCCATTTTACTGCCGTGCAGGGCTCCTCAGTATGGATATAGTGCTGTTGGATCAACCACTCTCCACTGAAAGACATCTGTGTACTTTCCAGTTTCAGGGCTGCGACGAATAAAGCTGCAGTGACCACTTGTGTGCATGTTGTCCTTTACATGAGCTCTCATTTCTCTCAGATAAACGTCCATGAGAGTGACTGCTTATAATGTAAATCCATTATAAGTTTGAAAAGAAACTGTCATTTTATTTTCCAGAGTGGTGGTATCAATGTGCCTTTCCAGCGGCAGTGGGCCGGCTGCTCCGCATTCTTGCCAGTGTTTGGCTGTGTCACTATTCTTTATTTCAGCCGTTCTGCTAAGTGTGCCATGAGATCTCTGCCCCCAGCTAGCTCCCAGCGAAAGTGCTTGAAATGGTTTTCTGGAAAGAGAAAGGAAGGAAGGCAGGCCCCTGCAGAGAAGGCACACATCAATCAAACACCCAGGACAGCTCCAGCGGGAAGCCAACTGGTCTCCCTACCTCCCCACTGCTCCCGGAAGGATGAAGAAACCTGTCCGGGATGTCCAGATGCTAAGGGCTGACCAGTGCCCTGGCCAAGAGCATGGCTCCAGGGCCAGGCCCGGCTGGAAGCCCAGGTCCTCTATGCCCCAGCGAGCAGCTGCAGGCAAGAAAGAGAGAGGCAGGAGGCCCTCAAAACCCCGGGTGCCCGGTCGGCAAATTGAGAATCGTAGTATAATACTGTGACATGGTAATACATACCCTATGAGATATAATAATTATAATAGTAATATCCTGGGCTCTGAGAGTCAGTGGATGGGGCTGTCTCCCCTGCAGAGTGGCCCTTAGAGATCTTCTGGGCTCTTCTGTGAGCCAGGGGAAGTCCGAGAAAGACTGTCGGAGGTCAGTACTCCTGGGCCCCAGGTCACCCTCCCACCTTCTTGGAGCCTGGACCCCAGACCTGGTCTGTCCAGGAGCCCAGACAGCAGGCCGCCAGGCTCCACTGGCCAGGTCCTGGCTAGGGGAGCAGCAGAGCCAGACTGGGCCTGGCCCACAGGACTCACCTGGCAAAATGAAGGTCAAGGCTAGTCCTCCCCAGGGTATGGCCACCCACCAGCATCCAAAGCCCCCCTGCAGGAGCACCACTGAGCCCCTGGCTGCATTGGGGTCCCCACCCCAGGCAGGCCAGCATGTCCCTCTAGACTCTGCTGCAGCCACTTCCTCCGTGAGCCACACTGGCTCCTGGTTGAACGTGCAAATTAAACCACCACACAGGATGGGGGAGAGGACTTTTCATCCTAACAACGCGTTAGGTGCACGTCCTGTGAGGACAGGACCCGCGTCCTTCCGTCGAGTGTCGCTCTGCAGCCCCACAGTCACACCTGGCATGACTCCCGCTCCGAGCACTCAGCACCACCTCGGCCGTGCATCACGAGTCTCTTGAGAATCACTTGCTTCGTGTGGAACGTTAGGGTAGTTCAGAGTTGTTGTAAATATTGTAAATGTCATAGTGACTCACGATGAGAAATAACATCGTGTGTGTGCAAAACACCTGGCTTGCCAAACACACCTATCAAATCACGGCTTTTGTGTTATTATTACTGTGACTCAGCCTGAAGTGTGGGTTCTCACGGGGGAGGGGTCTCATCAGTGCCCCCTGGTGGCCCCTGAGGGGTAACGTCCCCTTCCACTTCACCTGCGCCCCTGCAGTAAGCCCACTTCTGCACCCCAGGTGCCTGAGTGCCCACACTCACAATGACCCCTTTTTATGGGTGAGGAAATGGGGTTCCCTCCGTTCACAGGTGGCAGAGCCAGGACCCACCCTCAGTGATTTCTGGCTCCAGACCCAAGGCCCATCCCACCAGCCTGGCCCTCCCTGTTTGCAGGAGTTTTATGTGGTAGCAATTTGGTTTGGTTTTTTTTAATACAGCATGATGACTGCGTCTTCCATTTACAGCATCACAGAATCTGACACAATGGAAAGGGGAGCAAGAAGCTGCCAAGTCCCAACTCAGAGACGGGCTTGGCTGCTTCCTCGCGTTGGTTGGTTTCTGTTTCACCGCAGCCCTGAGTCTCCTGCCAGGGGCCAGCCTGGCACTGACCCAGACCTGGCCTCAGACCCCAGGTCTCCTGTTGTCCACGCTCCTGATCCCAGGGCGAGGGGCTTCTGCTTCCCAGGCAGCACAGCCTCCAGATGTCCGGACGCCGAGCCCTCTGCCGTCTTCTCCCCAGCACATCGTGTCTAAGTTTCTGCCTCACTGACTCAGCCCAGGGCCCCAGTTGCCCCATCTGAGTCTGCTGCTACCAACAGCCCCTCCTACCATCCCTCCCAGCACTTTCTGGCTCACTGGGTGGTGGGGATGGTCCCAGGTCACGGAGTAAATGGCCAAAGGGTAAATGTGGAGACCCTTATAAACTGAGAAACCCACCACAACCATGGAGTCAACATCTGGGGTGGCCCTTGGGGACACGGCAGGTCCCATCCCCAACTGCAGGTCACCCAGAGGATGAAATGACAGCAAGCAGTGACGAGGCACAGGCCAGGGCCCCAGATTTTTTAGCTAACTCTAGAGTGCAGCCTGCTTGCCCTGGAGGAGACCAGACTCATCTACGTGAAATTCCATATAGTTTAATGTTTAACGTATAAACCAGTGCTGTTTACCCACAGTCAAGTCACAGGACACAGACCCAAGTGTCAAGAAGGGCCTGGGACTGCGCCCTGCTCCCAGTTACGCTGCCTGCTACAGCTTCATGGACGCAGGAGGCCTGAGATAGAGGCTCTTCTCCTCCCGGCACAGTGACAGGCTCGTCCCCTGCCCCGAGGTCAGGGGGCAAGGTGGAGCGCCCCCGGTGGGTGGCGACCGTGCAGTGGCCGGTGGCACAGCTCCGGAGCCCTGCGCTTAGAAACCCCCAGTCCTGCAAGGGGGCTGCGGCAAACCTGCCCAACCCCTGCCCCAGAGGGAGATGTCATCTCCACCATCCTGGTTAGGAAACAAATCTGCCCCGTGTCCCAGAGGGAGACACTTCTTCTATCTTTTGGGTTGTTTGCTGTACAAACATCCTCAAAAACTCACCCACAACAAAGACCACCTCTGCTCACGTGGCTCAGAGAAATGTAGAAGGCCCAAGAAGCTGTAAAAACCCACAAAAGAGAAGTTATAAATTGAGGAAGATGGCATCTAACCACAAGGATAAGGGGCATTTCCAGCTGACTGAGGACAAAAGCCATGATTTTCCCCAGCATTTCCCGTCTGTCTGTGTTTAACGTTATGTCAGGAATCTAAAGAGGTGTCTTGTGCACATGCCCCAGGGAGCAGGGACTGGAATCAGCCTGGAAGGTGTAATTTTCTTGAAAGTGATCCAAAAGGAGGCTGGTTTGATGCAGGGGATGGAGAGCTGGCGAGAAGACTCCCGGGGGCAGAGCCCACGAAAGGGCCCCCTTCAGGCTCGCTCAGCGTGAAGCGGGGGGTGGACTGGCCAAGGAGTGCCCTTGCCAGGGTGCACACTTCATTCCTTCTGCTCTGAGAGAAGCCTGGGCTGGTGATGATAATGATCGCAACCTAGTTCTCAACCCTCTGAACCCACAGAGAAGTGTGAAATCCTGGGGAGAAAACAATCCGAAAGTCCTGCCTCTTCGGGGCTTGGGAAGCACTCCATGACTCCAGAAAATTCGTCCTGCTCCAGAAGGAGGAGAGAAGCTGACAGAGCAGCACGTTCCTGCGTTTTCTGTGGGTCTGTGTGCCCGGCACTGCGCCAGGTGGTACAAGATGCCACAGGTAGAAATGGGGCATCAATTTCTTACTCATTCGCTCATTCATTTATTCAATAATCAATCTGTTTCTCTGCTGAATAATGAACTCACTCAATTTGCAAAACACTAAGCATTTCTACTCCATAGGTAATTCGAATTACTGTTTTATAGTAAACTGACATAAATATTTTCAAGAAATGCAATGGAAAATTAACATTAATTTTTTTAAAATACGCCTACAGATATTGAAAACATTTCTCACTACGTCCTTCCTTCATTTGTTGATTCCACAAAACTTCGCCAAGCAACAACTGTACCAGGCATGGTTCTAGGTGTACAAACACAAGAAGACCACTCAGAAAAGGCAAGCGCTACAAAGAAAAGAAAACGGAGCCAAGGGACAGACAGTGGCTGGAGGCAGGAGGCTCACGTCGACAGGTGCAGAGAGGACGTGACGTGTGAGTTTAGATTTGAATAACAGGGAGGAACAACAAGACGTGGATGACCCCAGGGTGGTAGCCCAAGCAAAGAGAATGGCAAATGCAAAGGTCCTGGGGTCTGAAGGACAGAAGAGGCCACTGTGGCGGGAGAGCTGTAAGCAGGTCAGAAGCAAGAAATGGCAGCAAAAAGGCAGAAAGAGGCCAGCTCTGCAGGCTTTTATAAAGAACACTGGTGACAAGCCCTGAGTGAGCAGAGGTGGGGAACCGGTCAGGATGCTAACCCTGGTTTATGTGAACTCCCCTCCGGCATTAAAGGGACCTGGATAAGGAAGTTGAACGAGAAGCCCAGGCTCAGGTGAAGACTGGGGCACAGGTGGGGGACACTCCCAGCATGCATCTGGAGCACACCGGGGCAAAGACGTCCTAGATATGGAGGGAAAATACACCAGAATCTTCAAAGTACACCATCCACCTGCAGACCATCACATAGACTGCAGCTATGTATGCAGGAGCCGCGAGCCAGGGATCGGCCTCCCGGAAATCAAAAAGGCCAGACTTACCCATCTACCGGCAAAGTCCTCCTCCCTGTCTCGTCCCCAACCCCAGGACTTCTGGCTGGAAGCAGCCTTCGGACCCCACCTGTACTTTTTCACTTGGCTCCACCCACCTGCCCAGCAATGTGGCAGGTTTGGGAGTCAGAGCGAACAGGAGAAGCAGCCAAGCACATCACCTCCAAATAGCATGTGGTGAGACCTCCTGTGTGCACCGCGTACGCAGAGACGTCAGGACGTGGCCCTGCGCTCCTGGAACTTGCTATCTGCTTGGAGAGGCATGCCAGGGGCCTCTGAGATGCATATCATGGGGTCCTCCATTCCTCCACCCTCCAAGCACTGGAGACAGAGTTCAGCACTCCTTATGGGCAGCCAGGCCAGAGCAACACAGCTGAAGGTCAGGGTCAGGGTCGGAAGCCAGGCCGGGGCCAGGGCCTGGCCGGAGGAGCTGCCGGAGCTTGGCCACCCCAAGAACACTGATCCCAAGAAGGCACTAGAGGAGACCCCCAGAAACCCCCCCAAGGAGAGGAGGCCCCGATGAGAAGGAGTCTCCACTGCCTCCTCCAGGGCTGCTCAGGCCCACGGCTCACAGCCCCCCAGGCAGCCCGGCATCCACCCGTGTGCCCCCCACCCACCCGCACAGCGTTCTCTCCTGATTTGTTCCTTATCGTCCACTCCTTAATGAGCCCTTTCCAGCCTGCTGAAGAGCCTAAATTATTATTTCAGTTTTCCAGGAAAATGGCATGCAATTTAGTTCAGTCCTCAGAGGCGTGTTCAGCACTCCCCTGTGACCTCCCCAGTCAGGTGTCTGAATCCCTCTGGGCTTCCAGGTCTGAAACGCCGTCAGCTCCCAGCTGAGTTTTCTGAGGAGATCGGAGCAGCGCCCTGCCCTCCTGCTTTCTCAGCTGCTTGGTCACATGCTAGTCGTGAGTGGTGGCTGCGAACAACAAACCCCACCCAGGCTGGTTCATGCAGAACAGGCATGTACTGAAAGGGTTCCAGGTCACTCAGAACCGAAGGGAGGTCTCAGCGAGAGGCCGGAACCCGGACGGCCAGGCAGCGACCACAACGGCTGAATTCACACAC